TCGGACTTGAAGTCTGGCTCTGCCCTAGTGAGTGTTTTCTTGTGAGCTACAGGTAGCTTCCTTAGACATTTTAAACGTTCATCCAGAATCCCATGCTGCTGGATTGCATGGTCCATCCTTTCATCTGACTCTGTCTGCTTTCTCTCAACTTTCAAAAGCCGCTCCTGTGCCTCAACTAAACGAGCATGCTAATGACAACAGGTCATCAATTAGTCGCTTTAGCTGAGGGGCTTGATGCTTAAGCTCACAGTAAACCTGGAAGATATGATTTATGTAATCATCGGTAACTCGATCTTCCTGCCAACGAGTTCTTAAAAGCAACTGAAAGCACTACCTCTTTATCACAATACTAGACTAAAAATAGACTAGCATTCAAGTGCGTGCTCCATGACGCTTTAGAAACTTTATGAGCGATCAAAAGGTAAACATATGACATTTGGCCGGTAAACAAAATAAAAAGCAACCAGTGAAGAATCCTGAAAAATTAAGAATGGAGCAGACACACAAAAAGATCTTTTGGGAAACATTGGGCAACCACCTCTCGCGCCAGGGTTCTCGCGGTGGTTGGCACCACCTTGGCGGTGCTGCGGGGGCTGTGGTCGTGACCTCCAATGATCCAGCCACCGCCTTGAAGCTCTGCCCCGTCGTTCCCGTTTGCCTCGCCCGCGATGCCGCTTCTGCCACTTCGATTGCCTTGGGTACGCACCTGCGGCCCTTCGCCTGTATAACATCACCTTACAGACATTCGGCACGAGGAATGGCATGGTCTTTGGAAGTATTGGATCTGATGCAAATGAATTTTCACCTTCATTTAGGTGGCTGCTTATGTGATAAATGGATGTGTTAGCCTTGTGATATTTGTGTACTACGTTTGACACGAGATATTAGGTGGGATTAATGACTGTATTCAAGCCAAATCTTGTATTACCAGAAATTTTATCAGTCTGATTTAGGTGTGGCTCTTTTTTGTCATCTAATTGCATTAGCATGCAAAGACAGATTGGTTCTTGTTTCATTAATGCATTCAGTTGTGCTGTGAAGTGTAACTACATTCCTCAAACTCTGCTGTCAAGCCAAATCTTGTTTCTTTTAAAAAATTTCAAGTGTGATTGATGTGGCTCGTTGTCTATTCAAAAACACATTGGTTCTTGTTTCGGTTAGTAAATTAAGTTGTGTTCTGTACTGTAACTAGATTACTAATACTCTCTGTTCGGGCTGCCAGAGGGTAGTGAAGAAAGGTAAAGAGTTGAGCACGAAGTTCATCTCAGATCAGCACTTAAGCTTCGAAGTTATGTTTCAGAAATGGAGGAATATATATCAAGCTTGGGCAACATATTGGACAGTTGGTATGCTATAGATTTTGCTTCTTTGGATGCTATTAGGAAACCTAAGAACGGTACTTCCTCTGGTATCGTTTTTGCAATAATCTTAGGCAACTGAGTAGGATATATGTCGGAGTTAATTTGGAAAAATCAACAAGTAGCATTACCGCTGTGTTAATTTATACAGGAGTATTTGTTACCTGAAGACTATGTCAAGATTATGGGGGAGTATATGTTGAACAAATGTCCAGTTTCCTCCTATGATCAGGTGCATGAATTCTTTAAGAAAGAGCTTGGTGAGACACCCGATACTGAATTTGATCCTGTTCCGATAGCAAGTGCTTCCCTAGCTCCAGTTCATGTTGCCTGCAGTCATGATGGCCACAAAGTTGCCATGAAGGTTTTTGTTTTTTTTATCATCTTTTTCATGTTTACTCACAATCTTCATATGCTAGGAAAAGATGCAAGTCATGCAATTTCTTATACTTCTCCTAGATACTTCATGTACTGACCTGATCTAACAAAATTTATGATGATCAGGTTCAGCACACTCACATGACGGATACTGCAGCTGCAGATCATGCTGCTGTTGATTTAATTGTGAACACTCTACATCGTATCTTCCCCAGTTTTGACTACAGGTAGTGTTATCTTTAGCAATATATATGTTATCCTTCTGAGGGAAGAGATCATAAGAAGTCTTTATTGCCGCATCAATATATGACTATATATGTGTAATGATCTTTTGGTTTTTTTGGCTCGCCACATGTAATATGTAGGTTTATGATTTCATGCATAGGTCGTCTTTTCTGGCAATTTAATTCATTTCCTTAATAAAGGTACCAGAATTACGCATTTAGGCACATTGCTTTTTGGCCCCAAGCATGTTGACTGTGATCTCTCATCTTTCTCACGCAGGTGGCTGGTCGATGATATGCGTGAAAGTCTGCCAAAGGTAAGTTGGTTTTAGGACATCTGAGCTGCATGGCTTTTTCCTAATGCATGTCTTTCTTGATGGTGGGTTACAAAGAATGAACTTTATCAAAGTTGAATACTGTATAAGCAGATTGCCAAGGGCCAACTCTGGACTGTCTGTACACTATAATTAAATTCACCTCTGATTGCTTGTGAGTTTTGATGCCTAAATCATTTGGGAGCATTTCTGAAACTGTAGGTTTCTCTCCTTCTAGTTGTGCATACATTATGTGAAAATGCCTGCATAATGCCTCAGGGAACTTTTCGGACCTGCTTTCCACCAATTTTGATTGTAATTCTCTTTTGAAGAATACTCTCCCAAAAACCTCTTTAAATAAAGTGCAGCTGGGAATGAGGTATTGCTTTTCCAAGTGACTGCACTGGAATGTACATCATTCTCTCTTCGGTGTCTATTGTGCTGTCTCGTAATCCTGGAAGGATATGGATCTTTTCATCTAATCTCAAGATTAGAATCTTTTCAGTTGGGAATTAAGATGTGCAAATGATTTGTGAGGAACATGACATTGAAAATGCTACACCTATTTCTTTATTAAAAATCGTTAATGTGTTCATCAGGGAAGGAGACTTTTCTAATGTAGCATTCATGTAACTGTCGTGCAAATATTATTGTGTTGGGAAGCTGTATCACATGATTGCTATTTCTTCTAAAAAATATGAAACTTTTCAAATTATACATACATATATATATGTAGAATCATATACAGTGTTTCATAGTTTTTTAAAACTTAATGTTTTGAAAGATTTAAATTTTGAAAGTAAAGTGATTGGTGCACGTGCATAGTTTCTTTCCTATACTCGGAACCCAATTTCCTTTTATTGTTCCATCTGAATAATATATAGAATGTGACTATTTTAATTTATTTTTGAAAACTGGTATTTTAATTTATTTTTGAAAACCGGTGAAGAAAGTGGTCCGGTTTCCATGAAATATGAGTGGTCAAGAATGCTCCGTTATTGGGAAAAAAATGACGGAGCCGCTATGATAGCAATATCCTATCCCTATATAATATAAGGTATCGGGCCAAATAAAATATGTTATATGGTCTCTAGATATACCAACGAAATAATTGTCTATTCTAATAATTATTATTATTTTTACCGAACTTTTATATACCGACTAAGTCTTCAATAAACTGTACCGGCGTAAATTACCATTTATGTGTTTTCAAACTGTACCCGAGTTACCCAACATGAGCAAACGAGAAGTACTAGAAATGTGGTGAAAAGGAATACTTTAGGGAGTAATTTTCAATGGCATGGTTCTGTAGGCTGCAATCCGCCCATTCTAAAAGCTCCAACGAGATTTTTGCTTGGTGTAGCCATGAAAAATCGTCCTCCACTGAAGTATTGCGATCAACGACATCGCCCAGGGTCCAAGTAGACTGGGCTGGATCGGATCGAGCTCATGCATCCAGGCTAACTCCACTTCAAATCATCTAATTGCACCTAAAAATTGCTTACTTATTTTTCGATCCGAGCTGTTGGGGTGTGGTTCATACTCCTCAGTGACAAGACAGTACGAGAGTCCTTAGTTTAAGGGTGAATCAAGATAAAACCTTGCATTTCAAATTCTCTTTCTTGCTTTTACACTCTATTTTATTTGTAATTACGTGGCGAATCCTAACATGAGCGAGCTATGCTTAGGCCAAATTAGGCCTGCCGAGTTGCCACCCCATTGTCATATATAGGACCAACTACGAAAGGGTTCGGTACCTTAGGATGGAGATTAATGAATCATTAGGTGTAACTCTAAGTATAAATTCCTTTATCTTCATTCAAAACGATGATATTTTTCATGTAGAGATCGGCATGCGTGGATAAGAATGTTGTGCTCCTAAAGTACTAACAAATGTCTTTGATAGTAGAAACAAGGCAAGATCTAGCCAAGAGAGGAGATATTCAGATGATAGAGCGTTGGAATGTGCACTTCCCTTAAGATCCCTCCCGGAGTTATAGATGCATGTAGATCTTAATCATGGACTAAACAAAGATAATTGCATGTTGAGGGTTTTTTTTTTCCTTTTAATGGAAATGATTTGGCGTCTATCAGATTTAGCTATACATAAGTGAATGTTAGCTAATGAATTATATTGAATTAGAGATTTAACTGGATTTATATATCAAATCACATTCGCCCCTAACCCTTAATTCCAACGGACGGTGACTCATGATCAGATCTAGTAATAGCTTATAAATGTCGTGTAATTTCAAGTAGGTCTGGCCATTTGTGTTATTGTCGTGCTAATCGTGTCGTGACGAAACAACGGTATGGCACAAATATGGCTAACCTGAACAACTAGACACGATTGTCTCGACACGATTATGACATGCCTAATAAAGCAAATTACACGACACGATTAACGTGATTATTGAATGTGTTACCGCATTCGGTGCCGAAGTATGTTAACCTGTTTACTATTATAAACTAACTAGTATACACAATAAACATGTACAATGCGTTTGCACATGGTAAGTTACAATAACACGAAGAACACGTTTCCCAACAATATCGCATTAGTCTAGAGTGTACTATTGCTTTTAGTTTTTCTCTCTGGTTGATGATTTTGATATCGCAGTTCACCCCTCTTTCAAGACCATAGACGAAGAACACAACTCTGGTCTTTATTCTCAACACTATTAGCATTAATCAATATAATGACATTCCCATGTGATATTTATTAATTATTTTCCAAAAGCACGAAGATCGGCATAATAGGTGGCAATCCATTTTCGTATAATCTCAACCTCGATTTTCCGCTGCTTGACCAACCAGATAGGATCTTTTTCAGTAGCTCGAATTATGTCCAAACAATGAGAACCTGCATGTAAGAAATTATTTTTACGGCATTTATTTCAGCAATCCAATCGGCTTCTATAAATACCTTTAGTTGTGTAGACCGCAAATACCTTTAGTTGTGTAGACCGCAACGACAGTAGCTGAAATATTCTTCAAGATCCTATAATTGATGATAAATAAGAATTATTTTGAAATCTTATCCAATTTAGTGATGTTTTCATAGAAATATATAAGTTTTGATGCTACACGTACCCGCTCCTGCTATAAGGATCTTGAAGCCCATTGGAGAAAATAATGTTGCTAGCGAACCTGTGCAAAACAAGTTCTATATCCTGCAATTTTCCATAGTCAATAAAGAAACGAAAGAATGTCGTATGGTGTTTGGTGTGTGTGTGTGTGTGTCTATATATGTAAAAGAAAATTAACGGAGTATCATATATATATATGACTTTATTTTTGTGACCGTACATGACCACCGTAATAAGTTGTGGCCCAGTGTGGCCGAGGTGCGACGCCAAACTTTCTCTTGCAGTTATTCACGAGCTCATTTAGGTCGAAGGGTTGTGGTTGAAACATAGTATTGTCGTTGGTGATCTCATCAGCACTTAAGATCTCCGTACATGTCTGCAAAGCCAAACAACCACCATTTTCTTATAGTACAATACAAAACTCGAAGATTGACTAATTATGGGGAAAAAGTTGGAAATTGCATTCATGACTAGATCTACTAAGCACGTCACTATTAGGTATAGCCAATTAGGACTTATGAATCAAACCATTCACAAGCTACTCCTGCTCGACCATTAGACCACACAGATTTTGCTCAGAAATATAAGACGCATATAATGCCGAATCTTGGAGTTGTTCGTTTGTCACTCGAGTTTGAAATTAGTTTTGTTTGTTCATAATCAGTTCGGGTAGATTTCAACAGAGAGTGTTAAACTAAAATCTGTTCATCACATTGGACAATAGTGTGTACCTGCCAATCCCAACCCAAATTAGTTTGAGATGGTGTATAAGGTCGATTGATGTAGCATGTCGAATTTCTGATCGAAGCGACGAGGCCTGCGAAAATCTTCCCAAGGATGTCATTTTTATCAATGGCATCGCACATCACTTTCACTCGACGTGTGAATGGATCATTGTACTGAGCAACATTTGCGTAGAGCGATATCAAGTAGTCCTTGAGCTCCGACGAACTTTTTAATGGTCTAACAAAAGATAAAGATACGCATAATTAGATGTATATTCGTCTATAAAGCATATCCTTTAATATTTTTTTAAACTAATATCAGAGCTTGAAGCCATTATGTCATGTGAGACGCATTTTCACCTTGTTAAGTAAAAGTTCATGCTATTATGGAATAAATTGTCAGTGTAAGAAAAAGCTTTCACGTACCGTCTTATATGCCTTAAATTTGATGGTAAGTGAGAGAGTTGATAGCTAAACTCTCAAATCAAGAATGGATAAACTGCTTGTGTAAAGGTTTTTTTTCACTGTTAGTGCATGCTATATATTTCCAATTAGATATATCTAACAACTTTTTTTATTTTCTAAGAATTACTTGTACTATAGAACATACTGAAAAGTTTCCAAAATACAATATGATGCATGAACTCAATTCCATCATCCCCGCACCTGCAAGTTTTGAAAGTTCTGCTCAATTTCGTGAGACCATGAGGCTCCGAAGCAACTCTATCAATTTCCTCCCAGGATCGTCTTATGGTTCGGTGGCAAGAAAAACTAGTTTTCTGAAAAATCACCCAAGCAAATATTCAAGTGAACGGTTTGATCACAGAAAAAGCACCCAAAAGGAAAACGTATAAATCGAGCAAATTAAGATTACCAAAAAATCTTTTGCGACTACTGAATAGTATGGGTCCCGACGTATGATGTCGGGAAAGTCAAGAATTGGAGCAGATGATGCCAAAGCTCCGAGCGTCACATGGGGGTATTTCAATCGGAACCATGAAGCGAGCACTGAAAATAAATTATATGAATCAATGGGAATCGTACATTAGAATTGTTCTCTGCGATGGAAGTAGTGGGCTATTTTCTTTAATTTCAATTTATAGCTGTAGTCATATTGCTGATATCTGAAAATATATTTACTTACTTCCCCCATATGATCCTCCAATGACAATTATCGGAGAATGTTTGGCATTCAATTTCTGTTTGAGGTATACAAGGATTTCCGCGTAATCCGCGAGAGCTTGCGCCGAGCTGAAATATCCGCGGGTGTTCGGGTCACTTGGCGCTTTTTCGAGCGTCAATCCGTACGGGATTGATTCACCATAAAATCGATGCTGCAAGATTTCAACTTTACGTTCGTAAATTGCGTGAATATGTACATAGGCACGCCAGAAATAAGGGAAAAAGAAGGTACAACTAGGCAAATTATATAGGGCAATTTAATTACCTCTACATAGACCACAAGCGCTCTAAACTGAGCCGCGTTATCCGTCGGGAACCCACAATAGGCCATGTCGATGTCGATGGGTTCTTCTCCACCGAAATAAACGAAGATTGGGGCACTTGCATTTGTGCCACCCCAGTATTTAAAATTGATCACATATCTTTGTTTGAAAGTAGTGTAGCTTTCCGGCCTGTAATTAAAATGATCGAGGGTTTGGTTGTAAAAGAAAGGGCAAAAGGACACTATAAGTGCCATAACTTGTGTACGGAGATCACTTTGGTGCTATAACTTTTTTTCGGATCACTTTGGTGCCAAGTCGGAGGAAAAACGATCACTTAAGTGTCATAAGTTTTTTTTGGATCACTTGGGTGCTAAAATTTTTGAAAAACGATCACTTAAGTGCTAAATTTTTTAAAAACGATCATTTAAGTGCTAAAATTTTTGAAAAACGATCACTTAAGTACCAATCTCCGGCGAGCCACGTCAGCTTCAGAAATTAATAAAAAAAATGCCACGTCGGATTTCCGGCGAAAAATTGTGTACGGCACCGGAGTTGGCACTTAAGTGATCGTTTTTCAAAAATTTTAGCACTAAAGTGATCCAAAAAAAACTTATGGCACCAAAGTGAGCGCCGTACACAAGTTATGACATATCTTTGTTTGAAAGTAGTGTAGCTTTCCGGCCTGTAATTAAAATGATCGAGGGTTTGGTTGTAAAAGAAAGTCTGGAAGTCCTTTGATGAGACGGAAGCTCGAACCTCCCATGTAGGATCTTGAATAAATGTTCGGGGGAGTACGCTCAGCTTCGGAATATAGTAACCATCTAAGTTCTTCCCGGTAGCAACACAAGCTGAGAAAAGTATCAGAATGATCAAAAGGCTATAAAGTGTTGAAGGCATGATGGGGTGTGTGGTTATTGCTTAGGCTAAAGCATACACTTGAAAAGGAGGATGCTTGAGATTTTTTTTGGCTTCAACTAGTTCACATTTGTATAGAGTAACCCCGATCCCAATTTGTACTACTATTTTCTATGCGGAATTACATTAAAACTATTATATTATGTCTCTCGTTTGAGTCTGTGTACAAGACCTAATTCGATTGGAGGATGTATATCAATTCGCTAAACCAAGTATATTAGAAAAGAAAACGAATCCCAATGGATCACTACCTTATTCGGATTAAAATTTCTTTTCTTGAAGGCCGCACTAATCCATCGTAACGATTTCTTTCTTATTGGAGAAAACTATCCTAGGTTGCCGCACCAAAGAGTTTACTTCTTGGCTGGACGGTGTATGTCTTTCCTTATCTGTGAGCCCCGTCAACAAGAGTCAAATTTGGAACAAAGAAAAACAAGGATAACTTTTTGGTAAGATAGAGAGGGCTTAGTCTTTGGTTCTCATCTATTATTGAAATCATCCACATTTTTTGTAATTGCAATTCAACGTATCATTGTTTCAAAGCAAGAACATTGGCATATATTCAGCTGTCCACACTTCGGTATTTGGCTGCATGACCAACCAGTCTGGATCGGTTTGTGTCTTTGGTTATAAATCCAAACAATGGGAACTTGCAAAATATATAATTAGCGATGAGAATATATTTTGAGTTTGAATCCACAAAGGAAACCCGCTCTAAGTAGAAAATTTAAATCCGAATAGGGCTTGTGGTTTGACGCCCAAACAAGCAAGAAATTACAAAAATACCTTCTACTTTGGAGTTAGATTTATAATTTGAGTAGGTTTCCTTCCATTGAGTCTGTATGCAAGACCTGATTCAATTGGAGGATGTAGATCAGTTTGTTAACCTGATTCGATCCCCAGCTATGTCTTGACTGCGGGGGATTGAATTCAACCCTACTCGGTCAAAATGGCAATGACATAATTAAGTTGTTAAAATAAATCTGGTCAGATTGAGTAAACTATCTGCCTTGGAAATTTAAATAAACACATCCAGGGATTGATGAAAGAGATTAATCTATACATTTTTCCTATTATTTAATAATGCATCTGGGCGAAACAAAGAATTATTTCCCTTCCTTCTTGATAATGACTGATTAGAATCTAATGGTCTTTGAACAAGGTTTCCTGGAGAAGTTTTCTATATGGGAAATTGTATATGGCCGCAATAAAAAAATTTCAAAAATAAAATCTGAGAAAATAAAAGTGCTCATATGCGAAAATCTCTATTTTTGGGGGGGTTTAAATGCAAATATAATAATTAATTAAGGGGTCAAATTTTTTTCTTCAGAGATCAACCCTTATGGGGGTGGTGCACATGGGTCTAAGTAGGGTCTCGTGCCCTAACATGGAGTCACGAATAGGTGTCAGCTTGCATTGGATTAGCGATGACATTATGGCTAAGCAATTTAAATTATGCTAGGCCACGCCAAGACCACATGGAATTAAACTGAGATTAGTGACATTGTTCGTTGAATAATAATAGCGATTGTCTAGAAAACTCTATTGCATAGTATTTAAATCCGATTGTTGACTGACCCGCTATTATTTTGTGGCATCATTGTATTATTAATTTATGACATAATATTGTGGGAACTGTCTTGATGTATGGACGCTTGAAATCTTACTTGTCAAAGTACACGTGCAAAATATAGCACGTGTTTCTAAGGTTATGTGTTTTCATTGGACCATTGGGCCATATTTTCATGCTATTTCTTCTTTCGTCATGGACTTTAGGTGTTGGACCGTGGGGAGAGAATTGAACTTCTGGTTGACAAAACAGAGAACCTGCAATTCCAGGTAAACTTGTTTTTCTTGGAGTTACTAATGGGATGATTGAGAGGTATCAAGTAGTTTCCACGTCACTAAACAAAAATGCGCATTGTTTCAGGCCGACATTTTCCAAAGGCAAGGAAGGCAACTACGTAGGAAGATGTGGTTTCAGAATCTCCAAATGAAGGTTATGGTGGGCGGAGTAGTCGTCATAGTAATATTCTTGCTGTGGCTCATAGCAAAATGGGGAAGTAAATAAACATTTGGCGTTCTCAGGATGTAAAAAGAAAAGGCACGATATGTCTGTATCTGGAGAAGTTTTCACAAACGATTTGTTTGGTGAGCGATCCATATAAGAATAGTTATTTAACTTAATCAATTCCCATCTTCCCTCTCCCTGTAATACTTGCCTAGCAAAGATTAAGGCACATCGTCCGTGTAATACAAGCACATAAAGCTTTAATAGAAAGGTTGATACCATGAAAAATCTCAAACTAGTATACATGTGACATATTTACCACAAACTAATTTTTTGACCACAAAAAATCCTAAATTGATATATATATATATATGACAAATTTATCACAAACTAATTTTTTGATCACCAAAAATCCCAAATTGGTACACTTGTGACAAATTTATCTTCTTTTAAATTGGATTGATACTACGAAAAATCACAAATTGGTAAATATGTGACAAACAGAGGGGTTAAACCCTAAACCGGTATACCTGTCAACTGCCACATGTTATCCAACTCAGCAATTTGACGGTAAAATTTAACGAAAACTAACGGAGTATAAATTTGTCACGGGTATATTAGTTTGGGGTTTTTTGTGGTAAAAAAGTTAGTTTAGGATAAATTTATCACTGATGTACCCGTTTATGGTTTTTTGTGGTATTAACCATTAATAGAACAATGTGCACGAAAGCATGTACAATTAGAATTAATAGCTAATCGAACTTTCCCAAACTAAAAGAGGAGGAAAAACCCGATTCTCGAATTCACGTCCTCATCGTCAAGTTTCGCCATAGAAGCCAAAAAAGAAGAATGAAGAAGAAGCAGAAGCTTGATCATGGCGTGCACACAAGGTTTTTGGTTACCTTCAAGCCATGGAAGAGACAGAAGAGGAGCCCCCATTTTCTTTTTGGACGATGGTGGAAAGCGAGCCTTGAAAACAATGTGTGCTCATTTTCGGACCATGCAAAGCAAAAAACAACCTTTGTTATTGAACGTATCTATCGCAGGAGCATCATGATTTCGGGCTACTAAGAACTCCGACAACGACAGTGAGAGACGATCACATACGCTTCTTCATCAATACAGTTACCAAAAACATCAAATCGATGAAACCCATAAGAACACGATTTGCTTTTATTGATCCAGAACAAAACAAATCAAAAGAAATTGTTTCTGCGTTCGCATTGTAAGTTCGAAACTGCGAAACTATCGGGATTTCTTTAAAGCTATTTTCAAGAACGTTAAGCAGAAAAGGTTGTCTCGAAATCACGTTATTTTTTTAAAATCTAAAGCTCGTCTAGTAAGCAATAGGTTTGTGGAACTATCGAAAGTACATGAGTTCACCTAGATTTTAATACGGGGTGCGGTAATGTTCACGCGGTTCTACTACTTCGTTTAATTTTCTCATTTTTATTTTGTCTTTTCAGTATGTACATGATGAATAAACATTCATTACGCTTCGCATATTTGAATATTCATATTAAAATGTGTTTCTTTATTTTATTTTAATTAGTTCATATATATTTTCACTATATGGTTTATGCGCAAAATGTATTATGGAACAATAAAAAAAAAATTCACCTAACAACGTATCTTCAAATAGAAAAAAACGGTTAATACCACGAAAAATTTCAAATTGATACACATGTGACAAATTTACCCAAAACTAATTTTTTATCACCAAAAATCTCAAATTGGTATACCGGTGGCAAATTAACCCCAAACTAATTTTTTGACCACCCAAAACCCCAAACTGATACATTTGTGACAAATTTACCCTCTGTTAAATTGGATTAATACAAAAAAAAAACACAAAATAGTACACATGTGACAAACAGAGGGTAAAACCCCAAACTGGTTTATCCGTCAACTGCCATATGACATTTAACTAAGCAATTTGATAATAAAATTTAACGGAAACTAATGAAGAGTAAATTTATCACAGATGAACCAATTTGGGATTTTGGTAGTCAAAGAATTAGTTTGGGATAAATTTGTCATATGTGTACCAGTTTGGGGTTTTTCATGTTATTAGCCCTATAAAAAAACTATGAGATTGCCCCTTTCATTGTGGGGCGACAAAGTGATCATACCGTTCAAGTTCTTTCTTCTCTTTTTAACCCGAAATATTGGATATAGTTGGATTAATCTACAAATTTGCCGTGTTAAATGACATATCAAACCGCAAATAGAAAATTAAACAAGGGAATCCCATTCAACAAGCAATTAGAGCTCATTACACGCGTCGGTAGACGTGTATCGCAAAGTTACTTAGCATGATCAAAGCTCTGTACATGTCTTCAGCACGAAAATTGATTCTCCACCGTGAGTGCACCATCTCGAAATCTTTGATGTGCTCCTAAAAATGTAGGAAGGAATGACAAAGAAGCAAGCTCACTCCATTGGATAACCACCAACAAAAGGGAAACAAGAGTGGCTCCTCCAAAAAAGAGATGTGCATGCCTAGTTTCCAACCAAACAAAGCGAACAATGACACAAGTTCTCCTCCTACCCAAAGATTTTGTGACTCACCAAGCCACATTTTATCACCAATTAGTCGCTCTCCATAGGACCACAATGCCATCGCCAAAGCAGTTTCACTAAAGAATCGGTTCCCCTTTTGGGGGGAAAATAGCAACCAACAAAGATTTAAAGGTGTGATCATGCATCTTTCCAACCCTTTATCTTTCTCTTTTTTTTAGCTTTATTACACTGATGATGATTTTTTACTGGGCCATTTGACGTTGAAAAATATGAAAGTAGGTGTATCATAACGAGGAAGTAATAATCTAGAGAAGGTCAAAGGATGTTGGACTTTCATGAGTTATGATTAAAGAAGAGGAAGCACATGGAATGTGGGTGGTGCGCAATGCCATTATTCCTAATCATGGGGCTCAAAAGCAGAGATGCCCATCTTACCAGGGCGTTTATATTGCAAAGCCTTTGGATTGGAGTGTACTAATGGGGTCTCCTAATTAATGTGCCAGCTTGAGTCACCTCTAGAAGTTCCCCTTCTTATGTTTATCATTTTCACTTGGACCTAAATTTGCACTAATACTTTGGGTTTAATAAAGGAAGTATACCGATCGCAGTAAGGAAAGAGATTATAATGCAATATGCGGTATGCAGGCGCCCCAATTCCCTTCATGGAAAAAAGGATTCACCAAATTATTTTCTGATTATGAACATATACTCAATCAGCCGAACACATACACCGCCAAATAAATCTCCCAAATCTTGCTTAAACAAAGAGTATGTTAGTTTGTCTCACTCGAAGGCTTGATTCAAATCATCGCACTCGAGCATCATCTTATGGACATACCGTGAAACTTACTCTGCTTCGACAGTAACCCGGCATAAGTACAATGGAGAGATTGCATGCTGTGCTCAAAATATGATTAATCGGGCGTTCAAAAAGCCTTTGACAGGATATGTCATTGTTACCTTACAACGCGGGTGAAGCCATAGGCATCCTACCTAAATGAGTAATTAAGTTGTGGGGTATGAAAAGATGTCCTTAGCCGGCCTAATCTGAAAATGTCCTTTATGTAGCAAACTTGAAGGACACCCTTCCTAAATTGAATGCATGTGACATTGAAAACCATGGGCTAGCTAAGTAAAAAACAACAGGTGAGTACCTTTTGGACCTGAAATTGCTAACAGGGCAATTAATAACACAGCTGGGGCATTTTATCTTATCTTTCAGTCTTAAAAGAATGAGGACAAATTTGAAGATTTTCATGGCAATCTAAGTTCTGAATTTGAAAGATGAGCAATAAATATATAGAAACGTATATAACTAATTAGGGGTAACGATGTGGTTGAAATATGTAATAGAGAATCCTCTGCTTCTAGAAATAAAATTTAAAAAAAAATCTCTTTATGCATCCTGCAAATAGTGACAAGCATGACGAGGAAATCATGTACCCATCAAGTGCCATTCATTAAAATCTCCTCACACTGGCTTGGCATATCTGTAATGCTTTTGACTCAGCATCATCAAAGAGCTGTTGTTGCCAACCACCTTCTCTCTCTCTCTCTCTCTCTCTCTCTCTCTCTCTCTCTCTCTCTCTCTCTCTCTCTCTCTCTCTCTCTCTCTACCCCCCTCAAAATTTTTATTTTAACTTCGGTTGTTGCAGCAACTTTACAGTTAAAAGATCACCAAGTTGACTTAGGAGAGAGCTTCATTGGAATTTTTTATTTAGAAGAATTTTTTGCAAATTTTCGTTGGGGTAAATAACAGAAAATCACCTCGAATAGATGATCGTAGACCCGTGAAATGGCTCATCAATTTGATGAAGCTAATATCGAGCACCTAATCCCGATACAAATGTCCGTTCTTTCACTGTTGAGCCAACCTGGTTATCGTTATTTTTTGCCCTTCATTCAGCATTGGATTGGAAGATAAATCTTGTTCTATGCACAGAGAAAAGATTTGAGCTCTAAGTTCCAACCACAATTCCATGTGAATAAGTAAGGCAAAAGGAGGAGAAAAAGGGATTCTTGCATAGTCAGTTTTGTTTTTCTTTTGCAAAGTTTTCCAGCTAGGATCTTTCAGGAATATTAACTGTTTGGCTACGTGCAGCTAAGTCACTCATAATGATGAACAGAGCACTGAATGTTTTTATCATATAATACAGAATGATGCCAGCAGGGCTGTGGTCCAATCACACCCCAAAAAATATTCAATCGAGAATGAAAGGTATTAGCTGTTTGTTTGGGACCACCAGTGGATGATTTCAATGGAAAAACCCAAAATTAATTGAATTAGCAACAAGCAAAAGCACCATGTAATCAGAAATAATGCAATTGACATTCATTGCAGTTGTTATGGCAACAGACCCATTTCAACCCAATTAAGTGTCTTTTCCTCTTCTTTGATGGGGTGAAAATTCTCAAGACACTCTCTTTCCTGGAAAATTGCTGTAACTGTTGTGATCATTTCTCTCATGTTGCCACTGTAAGATTCTCCTGCATTTTCACAGGACAGAAGTGTGTGTGTTTGTGAGAGAGAGAGCGAGATAAAAACTAGAAAGATGCTATTGAAATGGGCAATTACAAGTGGCAAGTTCACCAAGAGAGTCCTTTGTGTCCCATCAGATGGGATACTAGTTCTGGGTGGGAATAGCTTTTGTGTCCTGCAAAGAAGGGACACATGTAGGAAGAGCTCTTGCACTCTTGGGTTGAGAAGGACGTGAACCAAAGAAGCAACCAAACCTTTACTTTCATATCACATCACACACACAACATCATCAGAGCCAGCCACATTTTACCCACCACCCACCCAACTACATCGGCAAGAGAAGGGTAAAAACATAATATGTGGTGGGGTCTACGTAAGCACCGGAGAGAGAGAGAGAGAGAGAGAGAGAGAGAGAGTGGACTGTGATTGCGGGCCCATGTTTGCTTCACTAGTGTGGACAAGATCTAGCACCATTCATCATGATCATCAGGAGTCAATGTAAATCCTCTTGCACTGAGGGCTACTGAGATCAAGACGGCCTTCAAATGGCTGAGATTGAATTTTGAATGGAAAGAAAAGCCAACAGATGCTGCCACTGTTGAGTGTTGGTTCCATATTCGTTTGACACTATAAGGAAAAGAAAAAGGGGCTAGTTCTGATGAGTCATTCGCATAGGACTAGTCCTCCAAGCTTTTCACAAAAGTTTTTGGTGAAAAATGGAAAAAGTAGTTGCTCAAGAAATTTTCATCCCATTCAATTCAAGTAACTGATAAAGGCAAACGCAATAATATGTCAGAAATTAAAGAGAGACTGACATTCAGTGATTGACAAAATTCTTGTGGAGAAAGCTCTTGCAAAAATACAACTGGAGCTTTTACTCTAGCAGCTGGCACATTATGCACTACATTCTACTTGAAGCTGCATCGGTATTGTTTTCAGTGTAATGCACCTTTCATTATGTACGCTAGTGAAAGTTTACGAAAGGTCATTGTTGGAATTATTCAGCATTAATAGTGTGGTGAAGAGGCCTTGCACAAGCCATAGAGTACTGCTGAATCCAATTGGGTCCTTTTCCTTTCTTTTTCTTTTTTGCCTCTATTGTTTGGTTGATGAAACTGCTTCCCCTATGAATGATTGCAATGAAATGAACTCAATAATAATATTTAAGGGACATAATTCATCCAGGAAAAAGTCTTCATGTACCACATGATAATGAGTAGAGATCAATGCCATCTTTTGCTAGGTTCTCTATAAAGTTGGCTTGGCTTTAGTTAGCTGTCCTTATGTAGGAATACTAAAACTTTCTTTTGAATTTTGGTGTATTGTTTCTCTAACTTACTCTCCTAGTTATTAATCAAGAACTTAGCTTGAACTAATAATGCAATGATGCCACAAAATAATAGCGGGTCAGTCAACAATCAGATTTAAATACTAAGTATAGAGTTTTCTAGACAATCGATAGCCCGACTATTATTATTCAACGAAGAATGTCACTAATCTCAGTTTAATTCCATGTGGTCATGGCGTGGCCTAGCATAATTTAAATTGCTTAGCCATAATGTCATCACTAATCAACGCAAACTGACATGTATTCGTGACTCCATGTTAGTGCACGAGACCCTACTTAGACCCATGTGCACCACCCCCGTTAGGGTTGATCTCTGAAGAAAAAATTTACCCCTTAATTAATTAGCATTTTTTAATTTAAAACTCTTAAAACAAAAGAGACATTCGCATTTGAGCACTTTTATTTTTTCAATTTTTTTTTTGAAAATTTTGAAAGCGGTTATAGACAATCGGGGGACCTTGGATCTTTGATGGTGGTTATCGAGAATACCTCACCAAAGCAGGAAAAGCAAGCTTCCGACTGGAGTCGCCCCGCCCGTCCAGGTGTATACTGACAGACTGACGGAACCGCATTCCTTATTTTTTCATGCTTGTACCTACATGTCCAGCCCCCTAATTGGAAAGAAAAACTTTCTTCCATCTCCCTAAGGAATACCCCAGGTTTTTACGTCCCAGAGTTCAGACAAAACAGTTTAAGGGCTTACTTAGATCCAAATTTCCCATATAGAAAATGCCCAGAACCGGACCTTTCCCCCTTCGTAGACTCTTCTCCAGGAAAACGTGTTCAAAGATCATTAATTTCTAATCCGTCATTATCAAGCAGGAAGGAAGGGAAATAGTTCTTTATTTCGCCGAGATGCATTATAAAGTAATAGAAAAAAAGTTGTATATATTAATCTCTTTCATCAATCCCTGGATGTGCTTATTTAAATTTCCAAGGCGGATAGTTTACTCAATCTGACCAGATTTATTTAACAACTTAATTATGTCCATTGCCATTTTGACCGAGTAGGGTTGAATTCAAGCCCCCGCATCCGGACACAGCTGCGGATCGCTTTGGATCCGCCGAACAGATTTTTATTTTTAATTATAGGGTGTCAATCATATGATCATATCATTGGCCGAATTGTATATTACACCTAGTTTTATAAAAAGAAAATTGTGAATGAATGACAGATGCTATCCGGCTTAATCGATACTCTTCACGGGTTTATGTGAGGTCGCTCTCGATGATTTTACACGAGCCGGGATTGGTTAAACGAAATACCCGTCGATTAATGATTCCGTCGCGGAAAGCATCGGGGATTGTCGTCGCAATCGATACGCGCAAGCGCATCTTACTCTCGCCACTAATCGAAAATCATGTTAAAGGGAATGACTAGGTGGTTGGATCAGGGAATGAATGAATGAATGATGTGTATGAGAATGTGTTCCTTGTGAAATAAGCATAAAAGAGAGTTTGGTGGGTGAAAGGGGGGAGGGAACATGGGTTGGACCACAAAACTTGAATGGAAAAAGGACACACCCTAGATTAATCTTTATGTAATTTAATTCAATTCCTATTTTTTCTGAATATTGTCATCCAACTTGTTGGGGGATTTTCCAAGAAGAGACTGGTTGACCCACTCATTTTGAAAACTTTTGTCCATGTGTTTGGTTAAATAGAGAATGGGGTCTACAAGAAAGATTAACAAAAGAAAAAATCTCTCCAAATTCTCCTTGAGATCATCATCTCATCTTTCGAAAAAGAATACAAAAGATTTTTTTCTTGCAAGGGGGTTGGAATATATTGAGATATAAAATAAAAGGAGGAAAATCTTCTTTAGCCCTTTTCTTTTGCTAGGAATAAAAAATAAACGAAAAAAGATCATCTTTGTAGCCATTGGTACAGCATTTGTTCTCTTTTATATGGAGAGCCTCACTCCAAACCCACCTTGCCAAACTTTGTTCATGAGATAGAGAGAGAGAGAGAGGTGGGTTGCAATTTCCAACTGCAACTGAAGGAGGCATCCAAAGGGATCGCATTGATCCCATCTCTTCACTAACGAAACATACTCCCACATATTTGGATTTTGGATCATGCTATCCCTTTGGATACCTCCTTTAGTGGCTTCAAATCTGATGATGTTCTTGTCGAGAATTGATCCGGCGACTCATGCATCGCCTGGAGAAGCTCACCGGAGAAAAGCCCGGGCAAGAGGGAGTGAGGCCGTGCAATGTGAAAAACGTGGAATTCAAGTAAGTTTGAGGTTGATAAAGGCCTTCTCAATTGACTTCCATGTCCTAACTGGTAGCTATTACCAAACACTACCCATTTGAATTGCTTATATTAGATGTGATACTGTGCACGAATTCTGATCTCGGGCTTACTTTCTGAAATGGACATGTTATTTTTCATGCATTAGTTCCACTTGTAGGGAAGTAGGTATTGGGTATGTTCAAGGATGTTCTTTTTTTCTTGGTTTTTTTATCTGCTGGAAAGCAAAAATTGGTCTCTTGGAAGTTGAAAATTAAATAGATTATGAACAGAATATATCTCTTAAATTATGAGGCATTGGTCATAGAAAAAAAATGAGAGATTTGACTGTCGCAAATTGCTTTGTTTATTTTACTTTCTAACTACTGAGCCTAACGGTCTTTTCAAATCGTCATGGATCATCAAGGTCATGGATCATCAAGGAATTTTTATATCCAAGAACTTTTCCTCAGCAATTTGAAACTGAAGGGTACCTTAATAGTTTCGTTTATCCATAATTGCACAGTAAGTTAGAATTGGTGAAGTGTTCGGATCTTATGTTGACGTCTCACTTACCTGGCATTTACTTATTTATTTGTGTGAGAATTGGTGAATGAATCAGTACACATGTTGCTTGCTCAAAACTCCCGTAAAATGTTTTGCTGATTTCAATCTATACTGATTCGTGAACAAAAATGGAGTCTATAGACTGGGGAAATGGAGTAGCTTCTGATGGCAACAATGGTAATAATCTCTATCTATGTTTTGCTCTGTAAATACCAGCCAATTCAGAATAATCTCATTTACAGATGCTTCCGACAATTGATTTGATTTATTTCGCTCCTATAATAATGCCCTTCTCTTCAAATAATCTTGTTGAGTGATATAAGTAATCAAGTTGTGCCGTGTCCGGATGATTTTTCTTGAAAGGCTGTCTAAGAACTGACGCGTGCTTCAGTTTTATGCTTCTCCAAATTGTGATAGTTATGCAAGATCAGTCAGTATTTCCGTGTGATCATATTCTTATACTGCGAAAACAATGAATGCCGACCATTTTGAGTTACATATGTTGAATTTGTTTGCAATCTCTCTTGTGATAATTTACAGATGAATTCGGGTGGTGCCTTGACAACTTTAGTAGCATCTTGCATGTCACAAAACCTCAAAAGTTACCGTTCGAGACTAACATGGCACACAAAATCAATTACAGTATGCACGAAACACACGGAGTCATCCATGTCCTTTTAAATGAGATTTAGTGACAGACCCATTGTCATTAGAACGAGATTAGCTGAACCTATTAGCCGAGTCCGTGTAAGTTTGCACAGGGCCAAAAAAAAAGCACCATATGCTCAAATGGGCATGGAAGGAGCAGAGGAGGAGGCTAAACCCTAAAAGTGGATCATGCATTTTTCTGGGTAGACCAAATTAACTTCACCTGTTTCTGTTCTTTGCTTCCCCAAGAAATTTGCTATTTCTACAAGATTTGAATCGCAGTCCTTTACGACAGAATAATACAGCTTGAGTCAAGAGCTTAAAACCCAAATGCTTTATGAGGCGGTAATCAGAATCCAAAGTAAATGAGAAGTGTCACCAAAGGACCTCTTTTTTTCTTCCAAAGTTGGGACCTCACAAAGAGGAATCATGCACATGATGAGTGCTCAAAAGAGAAAATAAAATGAATAAATTCTCCTTCAAACCAAAACCTCCCTATGAATGATAGTATTTTTTCAAGGCCATGCATTTGGGTGTGTCTCTCTCATCACATGCCTCCAACATTCTATTCTCTGTATGATTACTTTCCTCACATGGTACCAACCTTCTCTCTAAGTACTCAATGCCTTGTGACTTCTCTTTACCATAAATATTTATTGGATTAGATATCTCATAATGAAACCATCAGGGTATGCTTTCATTAGAAAATACACACACCTAGCCATTATCTGAGTGTGGTAGGCATTACTAGATGTAAAATACAAAAATCATAGATTATAATCTCTCTCTCTCTCTCTCTCTCCTTCAATATATTCCTCCTCGAGTGGGATCTCATAGGCATGAGAAATCAAGTGATACCACATGACAGTGCTTCGAGAAAACTTAGCATAGGTATGATTCTCAATCTAAACAAGTGCAAATATTCATAGCATTTTGCAATTAATTCACTTCTGTTATTCATATGAAAACATGGGCTCCACTTCCCCCTCATCCCGCGATTTTTTCCATTGTTATTGGCTTAGATTTCTGCACAGAAAGTTCATCAATGCTTGAGACGAAATAAATGCAATTGGGGGAAAAAGAGCACCATAAAAATGGGTCCAAGAGAAGAATTTTTTGGCACTAGATGGTACAGACTGTCTTCAACACCCCACATATTAATTCTAAGATGTCTCCTCCTTGGACTACAAAAACTTTAGAGAAGGACATCGGGAAGATGACAAATAAGAAACCTTAGAGAAAGAGAGAGAGAGAGAGATTATGATATTTCAACTGCACGAGGGATTGGAATTGCTCCCTTCAAATGGGACCCCAATTCCTTGACCTTACATCCTTCCTATTCCAATTTCAAAATTCTCTCTTCCCCAACTAGATCCTTCCAGTTCCCAGTACTGCTCTCTCTCTCTCTCTCTCTCTCTCTCTCTCTCTCTCTCTCAACTATAACGAGAGACTGTTGGGGTTTTGCTTTCTCTTTTTGCAATCTCAAATTCAATTTAAGCCACGAATTGGAGATCGGGTGGATTTTGATGGTGATGTACTGTTGAGTGTTTTCGGACTTTGTCATGATGCACTCTGGCACCTTTATCTTTTGCTTGATGTTTCGGTTGCTTATGCGATGTTTCTATTGTGATAGGTATCATTCGTCTTACGTACGATAATGATTTAGAGAACACAGTGAAATCTCTATTCTCAGTGTATTCCAACTTTATATTCAAACATCAAATCAAGTAAGAAAATCTTCCGAATATTATCTATTTGGTGATTCCAAGAGAAGAATCGGACCATTATTATTTAGTACGAAGAATATGTGCATCACTTGTCCCTAGACTTGAAAGAGACCACACACATATATATATATATATCATGAAAGTATATATAGAAGTATCTCCTTCCAAAATTATTTTGAACTTTCAACCTCATTTGGAAAATTTTCAACACTGATGTGAACAATCTAGGTGGACAAAATTGGAGATCCCGGTCATTTCACGTATCTAATGAGCAACAAAATCAGCATGGTGGCCGCACCATCTGGTCCATTTACATTTTAAGCAAATTCTGGCCAGAGAAAAAGGTGTTGGGATTTAATCTAACAAGAACCCTAATTTCACGGTCATTTGGTCCCTCTTGTTTACTGTTGTTGACGACGAATACACCCGGTAAAAAGAGAGCGAGAGCGAGAGAGAGAGAAAAGAAAGCAATCCTACGGTCAATCGAGTCCCCCCCATTATCGAAACACAGTTATAATCCATAGAGTTCCCAAGAGATATGGCCAATTTTGACTAAGTTGTTCACCATATATTATATTCTGGCCACTTCTTTGCTTTTCCCTAGGCATGATCATTTTAGTGGAACAAGCTCAAATGTCAAGGTTCAAGAGTCAACAGAGCCCACCAGGCATTATTATGTCCGAATAGATTGCAAAGATTCATCAGATCCTGTCTTTTTTGCCTTTATTTCCGGTGGTCACAGTACCCATTAACCACAATGAAGAAGCCACATAATTTTCAACCCAAATTACGTAAATTCAACATGTCTTGGTTCTCTGTATGTACAATTCGAAAAGCCTGAAAATGAAATGGAAAGGCCACTGTATCCCTTCAAAGTTCTCAAAAAGAAGCCATTTTCATCTTAGAATATGCATGAGTAACCCGACCGATTGTCTTTAAAAAAATTGTGTAGCTACCTCTTTTTTGCTCCTTGTCAAAGAATCCTTCTCTTCTTGATCCCAACTTGAAGAGCAAAAATTTGCTTCAACTCTACAAATGTACAACAAGGGCTACATCCACACTTTGGAGACTTCAATCTTCTCAATCTCAGGGGCTCCTTCTACTTTGTGTAGAGATCGCATTTCGTGCTTTGGCATGGACTTTAGACTTGTCGCAGATGCAACCGGGGAAAGGGTTTGCATAGAAACTCTCTTCCGATTTGAAAGCTTGTCCCGGTTGCCGACGGGATGGTAATCCGACACGGTCCTCATGTGACTTCTTCACTTGCCTTGAGAAATCTTCCCAAGATGTCAGCCCCCCATCCAGATCATCAATTAACTTCACAAATTTTTGTCTGCCAAAACAATCGAAACTAAAAATCAAGCCTTGCAATCTCTTTAGACTGAATTACCTTGAAATTGTTGATTCAAAAGGAGAAAGAAGGAAAATCACTGAAATATTAAGATTGAGTCTGCCTCTAGATAACACAAAACTTGACTTAAGATCATCAATTGTGGGTTGTTAAATAAAAGGTGCACTATGTTAAGGTTGAACGAAATGACATGCAATGGAAAAGTATTGAAAGTTGGCAGTCTTGACACGTACTTGTTAGGGCTGATGGTCTTCCTGAAACCTGCGAATCTCCTATGACCTTCGACTGCCTTAGCCATGTTGCCTTTATAAGTGTGAACAAAAACATTACTCTCCAGTGCCACGATGTAGTCCAATGCCGCGAGCTTATTTTGTCTGCGCTTAAATGGTTGCAACTCTTCTTCCGTGAACAAATTGGAATGCGTGTAGATGTTTGGATACTTGGATCGAAGCGGACCAATCCCATCTCGACCGTATGTCTTCCCAGCAACGATATATATCTTGGTAGACGAAGGGAAGCCAAGCGCCTCGAGGAAAACCGCGCTTTCCCTCGGGGTCATCGGGCACTCACCCCGGAGCCGCTTCTCTGTGCCGTTGATTATCTTGTCCCTCCAATGGGAGGTTTTATTTCTCATTAGCTCGAGCTCATTGCTCTCGGCTGCGCTAAGACTGTGGTTGCATCCTGTAAACGCAAGCATGTCTTTTTCATATCTGTAGTGTTGTGATTATACTCATAGTCAATTGATTTAGTAGTTGGAAAGTCATTAGAAAAGAACAAGATGACGTGATGATTTTTCCAAGAAAGCTATGTCTCTGTAGTACCTTAAATGAAGAGCAAGGTATGGTTCATCATTTTCTCTAAGTCTGCCAATCAACTTCTTAGCAAGCTCTTCGATTCCATCCTCGTATCTAAGAGCCTCGTACATTGCCCGGCACCGTAGTCTTTGGATCGACCCGGCCAGACCGTTGTTGACGAGACGAGAGTCGGTCTGAGGGAATCTGATTACTTTGCGGCGCTTCAATATCTGAGCTATTTTTCTATAGTAACTGGGCTGCAAGCACATCGATCACTTCTTAGATCTAAATAGATCAACGAGTGAAAACATGATCACTAGTCAATGTAAACAGTAGGGCCAAGATCGTACCTTTGACCAGGAAATTGGGGGTTTCTTCAAGGGGATCACCGATGCAAGTTTTGGTGGGAGAGATTCTACGATATTGATATCATCTTTCAGGACATCCATGAAATGCCTCCAGTTGAACAAATCTTTGAACCCACTGAATCATCAAGGGTGGCATTGGAATCGAATAATCGGCACACGAAAATACGTATACAACAAAAAAAGAAAATAAAAAAGCAATCTTATTATATAGTCTAGTGGCATCGGAATGAAATGATCAATCCATACCTTGTATCTGTCCAATAGGAAGTGACATCCAGGTGAGGCAGAACAAGGGTGGCATTCATAATCTTAGTGATCGCAACCATGTCGCTTATCTGCGATAATTATAGATACACACAACCAAGATATTATAGTTGTCTAAACTAAATACAAACGTATAATATGAAGCCGTTTTAAGTGTTAAGAAAACTCACTCCTATTTTCATCTGATTCAATCCCCCGTTCGCGTGGACTAAGATATACCCATTCGTTGTTTTTGCTGGACCTAAAAGGGGAGAAAATAAAATAGATTCTGAATTACGTACAATATCACTTTCCTTTCTATAGTTGATTGCGTCAATCTAGAGCGGAAAGACGGGTGAACCTGTTTCGTGCCTTGACCGATTGATACATTTGTAGTATCTATCATTCACAATCGGCTGCTTCCAGAGGTTGGATGTCTGAAAGGCAAGAAAACTTTGGATCAGTTGGCAGTTACTGAGGTAATTGAATCTTGAGTAAAAATATGTTAAGCGAAGTATGATCCTTGTTGACCCTAGAGTAAATTTCGACCTTGCAGAGCGTTTGTCGAAAGATATTATGCTTATAAGTTCAAATACTAAAATTGGCTATTAAAAAAAACCCTAAAAGTTCCTTCTATTAAAGATAATGCGAAGTATGTTGAAATAAAACTTGTTACGATATCTTTTCTTTTTTTTTTTTATAACCGAGGTGTCCGCGCGGCCGGCGAGCTAGGGCTCAAACCAGCGGTGATGCCCGACTAGTCCTCGAGGGGGGCTAGCGCAGCATCCCACCGCCACGACCCCCACTTAAATCACCGATGGGCAAGTTTGAACCCAGGACCTCTCGTGAAAGGAACTGAGCGCAAACCAACGCGGCCACCGATGGGTGGGTAAACTTGTTACGATATCTTGATCTCAATAAAATCTAAAAAATTTCACAATTAGAATCACGGTATTTCAAAATAAAACTAAAAGTCATGTCAATTGATCACGATATGACAAATATGTTAACAAGACGTAGTTTGTAGTCTTCTCGTTGAAGACGGCAACCGGCGATAGTCGCCAGACACAAACACAAGGAGCATGCAACGTTTCCCCTTGATTTTTAGGGTAGAATCCAGGTCTGAAACTTACCAAAAGGAAAATTTCTTATGGCCTAAATGGAAATAACCAGTCCTTGTGTAAAATAAGATACTTTTGACCTCGCTCGGACATATATAACGAGCATATGTAGAATATAAGCACAGCGACGTGATTGCCTATTTCATGCACGCAGTAGACGATCGTAGAGTTACCACGAGAGGTAAAAAATAAAATAATGAATGAAAGGTCTAAGAATATACACCTGAAACTTAGCTCAGGAGAGATTAAATTAGTGATTTTGAGATAAATCTGAAAAGAATGCACATAACCAGAACAACTTAAACACAGAAGATCAATATATGCATATGTTTGTGTGTGCACGCCAATTGCACGGCGCATATATCTAAGAACAGGATCTTACTTCGGAATTGTCCGACGACCCTCCATCGTCAACAAGACCAGAGTCGCGATTTCCGACCCCTCGGTGGTTAAGAACATCAATCCGACTCAATCTCCTTATCATCACGATCTTGGAGAGAAACCAAAAACCTAGCACGGCCGTCACGATCAGAAGAACCTGCGCCGAGAAAGGGCGCGCTCTCTTGGGAATGAACATCGTTGGCCTTGGAGCATCCGGTCGATTCTCTTGGGATTCGAACGTTCTTCTTCTCGTCATGGATGGATTGAATCTGAAAAGTTAGGCAGAGAAAGGAGGAGAGCGCATGATAAAAAGAACAAGAATTTGCTTTTTATTTATAGCAGAGAAGGAAGAATTGGAGACATGGAGTTGGAATGGAGCTAGGAGAGAGAGGTGTCAGATTTTTCTCGAACTCTTTTTCTGGCGCTTGGTGTTTATTCTGGTACAACGGGAGAGCGCGATGTGAGGATGAGCAGACTTTGTGGTGTTTTGAAGGGGAAAAGGGTTTTCAACAAGATTTGCTATGAGGAATGAAATTGCTGATTTTGAATTAACGTTAGACGGGATTGCTTTTTCCTTTTGTGTGTGTGTTTGGATAAGATTTTGTCCTGCAATCTTCGATTTAAATTGAGATAGTAGCAAGCCGACTTCGAGTAGAATTGGAATTCTAGTTTAAATTAAGAACTAACACATAAATGCACAGGCAATGAAGAAAAGGTCGATAAAACAAATTTATGTGGAGATTACAGAATTTAATGCTAACTAACTTTATAACCAAAGAAACATCATATGAAAACTAAATTTCACTCGGCCGGAAGTTCCCATTCTTAAAATCTCTTTATGCGTAACATTTCTTATATATGCTTAGCATATGTGGTGTGCGTGCGCGTACCGTCTCGAGAATTTAAAAGTGAGAATAATCTAAAATTTATCGTGTGGAGAGAATGAGAATATGAAATAATGAATTTTCAATTCCTAGCAATTCTTTTAAATTTATACACATATTTTCCCAATCCAACATGCAGTTTTAATGAGCGTGTAGATGTTGGTTTAAGGACATTTTCAAGTTTTTATGGCTGATATTGTAGATCAATGTCTAATTTAGATTATTTTCATATGAGTAATTGAAGAAGGAAGTTATAATCCATGAACTATCGTTTAATTTGTGCAACATCTCCTATTTTCCCTCACACTTGATTTATTCATAAATAATGACCTAGCAAATTTGCTTTTACGATAATGTATTGTGTTAGCTTTTGTTTTGATAATCTATTTTACCCATAGTCATCTATATGATGTTTTCTGTTCCTATATATTTTAATAAAAAAGAAATTATTTATGTAACCTCCTAAACTTTTGTATTCAAAATTTATTTATAAGTTTCCAATACGTAAAAAAAGGTTTTGTTCTTGTGAACAAACTAAGCAGTAAACATCTCATTCACGGGAAAGTTAAGTGATATTTTAAGAAAAACATATGCAAAGTATACAAAAAATTTTAGCACAGAGGAAGTCTCATTCTCATAGATTTATACATTAATCTTTATCAAATTCTTTTAGAAAACCATAAGAAAGATGCACATAGAATATTTTTCAGCAAAATTTTGGACTGAAAAATCTTGCCAAAATAATTATGTAGAACACTGAATATAGTTGTAATTAACTTTTTCATCACTAAATGTATGCATTTTCTAATTTAAATTGCTTTTATTGCTTAAAAGTATGAGTGAAGAAAAATGATTTTATTATTAAGGATATAATTTTGTTATTAAGGAGAGCCGCCCAGGAACTTGACAAGAAGAATTAATTATTCTTTGATGTTTTTGTTTTTATTTGAAACATTCTAAGAATAGAGAATAATTTCAATGTTAGTATTCTATAATGTGCATTGAAATTTGTTTTTTCTTTTTTTATATTCTTATCAAGTGACCTTCGTGCCCTTTTAAATAAGATCTTTAACAATGATCTATGCATGAACATTTTATTGGGAAAATTACCAAAAAAATCATAAATTTATTGTAATCGTGCCATTTAGTCCTAAATTTTTTTTTTGTTAATTGAGTATTAAAAATTTTGCATTTGCGTCAATTCAATCCATCCGACCAATTTTGGCCAATCAGCGCTAACATGGATAGAGGATGGGCATCCTACATGGCACAATTGGTGTTGACGTGGACAAAATATTAATAATTTTTTAATATTTTGGCCAAATTTTTTATTTTTATTCTTTTCTTTTCTTTCTCTTTATGTTTTTTCCTTCCTTCTTGCTCTGGCCGGTCACTGAGCTCGACCTCACTAGTAAAAGGAAGAAAAAAAAAAGAAAGAGAAAGAAAAGAAAAAAAAAATTTTCAAATATTATCAAAAATTATCTAAGGCCAGCGCCGGCTGCACCACATAGGACGATTGACATCCATGTTAGCGCTAGCCGGCCAAATTGGCCGGATGGATTAAATTGGCACAAACACAAAAGGTTTAGGATTCATTTGGAAAAAAAGGTTTGGGACTAAATTAACATAAGGGTTAATACCACGAAAAACCCTAAACCGGTACACTTGTGACACATTTACCCCAAACTATTTTTTTTATCATAAAAAACCCCAAACTGTACATCTGTGACAATTTTACCTTGAACTATTTTTTTGACCACCAAAAACCCCGAACTAGTACACCTGTGACAATTTTACCCTAAACTTACCAAAAAAAATCCCAAACTGGTACATATATGACAATTTTACCCTGAATTAAAATTTTAATATTATTTTTTATTTTTTTCAAATTTTTATTTACTTTTTATTCTTTTCTTTTCTTTTCTTTTTCATCTTCAACCTCTGGCATGTCGCCGGTCCGGCGACCGGCCAAAGGCGGAAGCCGGCGAGGGCCGCCCTCGCCCGACGCAGGCGAGGGTCGCCCTCGCCAGGTTCGGCGAGGGCGACCCTCACCGGTATCGGGCGAGGGCTGCCCTCGCCGAATCTGGCAAGGGCGACCCTCGCCTGCGTCGGGCGAGGGCGGCCCGACGCCGGCGAGGGCGGCCCTCGCCGGATCTGGCGAGGGCGGCCCTTGCCGGCTTCCGCCTCTAGCCGGTCGCCGGACCGGCGACCGGCCAAAGGTTGAAGGTGAAGAAAAAAAAGAAAGAAAAAGAAAAGAAAAAAGAAAAAATTCAAAAAAAATAATATTAAAAATTAGTTCGGGGTAAAATTGTCACATGTGTACCAATTTGGGGTTTTTGTGGTATGTTCAGGGTAAAATTGTCACAGGTGTACCAGTTTGGGGTTTTTTATGGTCAAAAAAATAGTTTGGGGTAAATGTGTCACAAGTGTACCAGTTTAGGGTTTTTCGTGGTATTAACCCTTAACATAATTACAATAGGTTTATGATTTTTTTGATAATTTTCCCCATTTTATTTGATGTTGATAATATTTTTTGTTAACTTATTTTTGTGATATCAGAAATCTTTACATCAATTGATTATATTTTATATGTTAGGATAATTATTAATTTACCTGGATTTTAAATGACATTTATAAAAATTTTGATTAGGTCACTAATTGTGTCACGCGCGGAAAATTCGAAAGATACTTCCATGTCTGTGGCACTTTGGAATCTGATTCCATTAAGTTTTATAAATTTACGATGAGTTATAATTCAAGAAAATAAATTACTAATTTTTCTAATTAATTTCAAAATTCTAAATTAATGGATATTTATAAATAGGTTGATAATAAAGAGTAGCGGTGGAAAAACTATCATTATAGTAATCATGGGCGGTGACCGATATATTTCAAAATATATATCGGATAATTTTCAAAATTAAATTTTATTGAGTTGAGATGTCTCTAGTGTCCGGTAACTTTTTATGATAATTTTAGCTGGTTCAAAATATTTTGCTAACTTATTGGTGTTTAGAATGGGTACCGAGTGTCTTGTTAATTTACTCAAATATAAAATATCCTCCCAACATTCTCAAATATCTTCATCTTTTCATCCAAATTATGTTGTTGTCACCCAAATGCAAACTTTTAATCTGTGTCATAATTTATAAAGTGACACATAGAATTAACCAAACCATAGTTTAAGGTGACCATTAAAAGTGAAAACAAGAAAAGAAAATATTATCTTTTGTTCATTGTTGACACCTATTTTTAATTTGCCCAAAATTAATTACACAAAATTTAGGAGTTAATTTTCTTTAATTCCTAAAACAAAAAATATTTCTATTTAAATGCATTACATATAGAAATTAGGCACATTTGTATTAATAGGGTATTTAGAACCTTTTCTAAAAAAAAAAATCTGATTTGGGCCGGGTCGGGGCCGGGCCGACCCGGCCCTTTTCCCTTTTTCCTTTTTTTTCCCCAGCATGGGCCCCGGCCCATTCTTTTTTTTTTCTTTTTCTTTTCTTTCCCCCCCCCCCCCCCGCGGGCCCAGCCCGCTTTTTCTTTTTTCTTTTTTCTCCTCCACGCGACTGAGCCTGGCCCGGCCCAGCCCCTTCTCTTCCTTCTTCCCCCCTGCGCCGAGCGGTCCTTTTCTCTCCCCTGTTCTCCTCTGCCGCTGACGCAGAAGCGACGAGCGGCGGAGCAGCCCCGCGCTGTCCCCATTAGGCCAGACGATGGCCGACGGAGCACGCCGACGGGACTGGCATTAATTGCCAGTCCCGTCCTCCCCGAAAACCCGGACCATCTCTCCCCCCTTCTTCCTCTCTTCCCCGTCTCTCTGCACACTGACAGAACCGGTCCCCCCCTCTGCACCGGCCTAATGGCCGCGAAAGTCATGGTAGGAGCAGAGGTCGGTGCAGAGCATTGAATGGAGCAGAGAATGGTGTCGTCGTCGTCGGATATACAGGCCAGAGAGAGGGGAGAGAGGGGCGGTTCTTCTCGGTCCGTTTGAGCAAAAAACAGAGAGGGAGAGAGACTGAGAGAGAAGGGGAGATCGGGTGAAAATTTTCCGTTTTTTTGGCTTACAGGTAGAAAAGCACAGCCGTAGGAGTTCCCTCCGGCGGGCCAAAGCCGCCGGTGATCCACAAGCCGACGTTCCCGACGGGTCGGCCAATTTGAAGAGAAACAGAGAGAGAAAGAGAGAAAACAGAGAGAGAAAGAGAGGAGAGTTGGCTTCTACAGGTTCCCAGCAGCGTCGTCGTCGCCCTTCGATCAGCCGGAAGCCCCTCCAGACGCGCCGTCGACGGTGAGATTCCCCCCGGTCCGAACTGCCCCTGTTCTGCTCTGTTTTTCTGCTCAGTTTGGCCGGGACCCGCACCAGCCGTTTCACGCGAGTCCTGGCCCATACCGCCGTCCCCCGCCGTCCGTGTGTCATCACCGAAGGTAGGTTGGGTCGCCTGAATCCTCCGGTTCGCCGGAACAGGTTGGAATCTCCTGTTTTTGGTCGTGCACAC